ACACACTCCTCAACCTTCAGATTGAATTTCCAAGTTTGGGAAGAAATTGACCATCCACCAGATAACTAGAAATCACTGCAGGGCCACAAGAAATATGGGGAAGCAGAAAAATACCTCTCCTCCAAGGGAAAAGGATAACTCCTCTTCATCCACACACAGTTCAATGGAAATCATGGAAATGTTTGATAAAGAATTCAGAACATTCATAATGACAAAGCTTACAGAGATGGAAGAGAAGAGAGACAAGGAACTGCTGAAGAGGAAGGAGAAAGGAGTTGAAGAGTTCCAGGAGGTGAAGAAATTCATGCAAGATCTAAAAGAGGAATTTCACACTTTACAAAAGAATCAGATGGAACTGTTAGAGATGAAGGCTATAATACAAGAAGTCAAAATTTCCCTTGAAAGTATTAAAAGCAGACTAGATCATACAGAAAATAGAATCTCAGATGTAGAAGAGGAAATTGCTGGCCTAGAAAAATTTACCACGAAGACTGAGAAAATGGCCTAAAATTTTGAGAATAATATACAAGAAATGCTAGATACAATTAAACGTCCGAACATCCAGATAATAGGCATCCCAGAAGGTGAAGAAACTCATAAGGGCATTGATAATCTATTCCATGAAATCCTGCAAGAAAACTTTCCAAACCTGAAGAGGCACTCAAAGATTCAGTCCCAAGAAGTACAGAGGACCCCAAATAGAATCAACCCTAGAAGATCTTCTCCAAGACACATTATAGCCAGATTGACCAAAACCACAGACAAAGACAAGATACGAAGACTGGCAAGAGAAAAACGGCAAGTTACCTACAAAGGGTATCCCATCAGACTAACGGCAGACCCAAGACCTGAAAGAATTTACCAGCACCAGACCAGATCTCCAAGAAGTTCTTAAGGGAGTGCTATGTCAGTAAAATTAAATGCAGACACACAGAAATAAGAGTTCAGAAACTAAGAAAATGGCAACTTAATTGTAGGGACAAAGTCTGGAGTTGAGTATTACATCCCAGAGTTCAATCTGGAAGATTGAACCTCAACAGAAACAGAAGAAAGATTAAGTACATGAGACTGAACTGATGAAACAGCATTCTGTGACTTGACTAAAATATTGCTGCTTTTCTTCTAAGCTTTGTTGTCCAGTTTTAAGGATTTTTGTCCTGTCTTGAGCTGCCAATAGATGCATGTACCTACTATTTGAACAGAATACTAACCTGTTTCTAGTCTTTAAGTTTCAAGGAAATATCCTTACCAGTTCAAAACTGCTTTTCTTGAAACCATCAGCTGAACTTGCTATTGAAGTAGTTAGATTACTTATGATATTGTGTGATCAACAAAATGTTGGGGGGAAAGGAATTGAAGACAACTGTAGACAGCAGAGATAGTGTAATAAGAGAGTGGAATAGGGCAAAGGGACAGACATGGGGTAAAAAACATATATAGATGAAAGTAGAAATGGAATATTATGGATGATAACATGCATGATTAAGCCACTATCCAGTTTATTCTAGATGGGAATCCACATTTAGTATGTTGTGATGATACTCAGGGAATGAATGTAAATTAATAAAAAAATTTTTCAGAAGAAAAAAAAAACACTAAAACTGTTATAGAAATTTTAAAACCCCTGTATTTGATGACCACAGTAAGCTATATAGCCCCAGCTAGGTACTATCTCATAGTATGTTCATTGTACTCACTGAAGTTTATGCCTAAAGTTAAACATAGATTCATGCGTATGTATATATCAGCTGCGCTTGCTATTGCAAATATTTAGACAAATTAAGTTCATTAGCAAATCAATTAAATGGGAGGGGAGGAAGGCATAGAAAGCAACCATGGATACCAGAGACAATGTGGGAGGAGGGTTGGACAGGGCAGAGGGTTAGGGATAGGGAATCAAGGATGCCAAAAAAAAAAAAGCAAAATATACAAGACATAAGGAATGGAAAATTATTTGTATGTATGTTGATGTGATTTATTGCACCAATAGACAGTGTATTTTTGATGGAAAATTCATTTTGTACAATACAATGATGTATAGTGAATTAATGTAAAAAAAAGAAAAAAATTTAAAAAATGATATGTGAAAAAAAAAAAAAACTAAGACACAAACACACACATTAACTTAAGACTGCACAGAGTCAGTGTCATCAGTGTCATCATCTTCCACCTCCATGTCTTGTCCCACTGCAAGATTTTCAGGGGCAAAAACATAAAAAGAACTGTCATCATCTATGATAATAGTGCCTTCTGGAATATCTCCTTAAGAGCCTGCCTGAGGCTCATCTTGAGGAGATGTCAATCTTTTCAGAAATATATCCATAGTGGTTTGCTTGCTTTTTTGTTTTGTTTTGTTTTGTTTTGTTTTTAAGAGAGATTTTTGCTATAGGATGCGTGAGCTCAATGGAGAGACAGAGAGAGTTAAAGAGACAGAAAACGAGAAATCATCTTCCAGGGGGGATGGCCACACCACAATCTCTTCTTCATTTTCCTCCTGTGATCTTGGGCACACACACACGCACAGCACCTTTCATTAGTTTCAAGCCTCTGGGTCTGGAACTGCAGTCAGCCATGTGGGAGTCCAGCAACATAACCACTACACCATCTGCTGGTCCCTGTTTTATGTTTTTTAAACCATAGACTTGCCTATAAACAGATAATGTGCCATGACCATTCTCTTCTGTTAATGAAAACCTTTAGGTGTTGAGGATCATGTTTTCAAACATTTTAAGGAGCTTGTTGAGATCTGGAAAACCTTTTGCTAAACCCTTCAATATAAATGTTCTTCAAGGTTCTTCTTTTACTTCTACAATTTCCTTTTGTTTTCTCTTTTCTACAGATATGTGTTCTTGCACTAGTCCTAATAGCTACTTATTAGTCATGTACTCAGGAACCATTTCTAGGAACTCCTCGATGGTGTCCTCACCCACACCCAACTTAAAGATATTTGCCATATCGGGACCACTACATACACATGCACACATGCCCAGCATGAGCTTTAAGCCGCCAGGTCCAGGTAGTGGTTGAAGGAAGAAACAGTACTGATATGAAGATCATCAGTGAAAGGAGGAAGTGTAGAAATATTATCAACAATAAACAAAATCTTGAGAGACATGTTATTCTCCAACTGGTACTTTTCCATTTTAGTGGCATAGCAATTTAAGAGGGCATCTTAAAGGAGCTGAGTCATCCGTAACTTCTTTTCTTTCCTTCTTTCTTTTTTTGAAGGCTTTTGCCATAGGACACATGCACTCACCAGAAAGAGAGAGAGACAGTGAGAGGGAAAGTGAGAAATGGTCCACCAGAGGGTATGACTACACAGCGATCCCTTCTTCTCCATTCTCTGCTCAGGATCTTGGACATCTGGCAGGATTTTCAAGCCACTGAGTCCTGAACTCAAACTACTTTCAGCTATGTGAGAGTCCAGTGACATAACCGCTACACCATTTGCTGGCCCCAAGTTTCTCTTCTTTATAAATTATCCAGTCTGTGATATCCTGTTATAGAAGCCCAAATGGCATGTAGACAACAGAAATCTATATCTCACAGTTTTGGAGGCTAAGAATCCAAGGCCAAACAGTGGTAGATTTGCTATCTGGAAGAGATTGCCGTCTGGATTGTACACGGCACCATCTAGCTGTGTTCCCGTGAAATGGAAGAGGCTGGCTAGTTCTCTGCAGTCTTTTTTATAAGGTCGCTAATTTCCCTCGCCTTCCCAAGGCTTCATTCCCAGTATCATTACTTTGGGGGTTAGGATTTCAATGAATTTTCAGGGAACACAAGCATTCAGACCATAGTCCATAGTACCTAGTGATATTAAAAAAAAAAAAATGGCAACTACCCTCTTTTTTTTTTTTTTTTTGAGAGGTTTTTGTGCTCGCCAGAGACACAGAGAGAGACAGAGAGACAGAAAGCGAGAAATCACCCTCCAGGGGGAATGGCCACATCACAATCCCTTCTCCTCCGTTCTCCTCTCAGGATCGTGGGCACGCATGCACACGTGCCTGATGTGAGCTTAAGCCACCAGGGCCGGGACTGGAACCTCGGGTCAACTACAAGGGAGTTCAGCGACATAGCCATTATGCTAACTGCTGATCCCAAAAAATGGCAACTACCTTTGTGAAATCACTGTCATTAAGAAAAATACTTTTTAAAAAATTAGTGCTTTTGAAGTAGCTACTGATACTTTCTCAGCAGATCTATATTCTTTGTTTTTTTTTTAAAGAATTGTTTAATTTTATTTATTTTAATTTGACCAGAGAGAGAGACACACAGAAAGATACAGAGAGAAAGAGAAGAAAAGTGAGAAAGGAAGCCACCAGGTTAGGACTTGAACTGTGGTCAGCCATGTGGGAGTGTCCAGTGCCTTAACCACCATGTTACCTGCAGCTCCCCTATATTCTTTGTTTTTATGCCACACACATCAAACAAACCCATGGTGGGTGGCAAATGCTAATCAATATCATATTTAAGTTATACATTCCTCATCAGCTTTCTTGGGAAATAAAAATTTATTACTTAGTTTTTCATTACATGAGCACATTATTTTTTTTTTTAATTCTTCAATTTGTATTTATTATTATTAGTACTTTTTTATTTGACATAAAGCATATGTCCTTACTGGGGTGGGAGCAAAGCCACCAGGTCTGAGACTTAAACTATGGTCGGCTATGTGGGTATCCAGTGCCTGAACCACCACACCACTTGCTAGCCCCTATATAAGCACTTTAATATTTTTAGCTTATTGATGACAAAAGCATTTATTTGCAAAGTGAAAAGTTACCAAAAAATAAAATAAATAAGTTATTTTAGGTCTCTCCTATACAATAAATAACAAGATCCTTGTAGCAAGAATATTCAGACTATTCTCTGTGAGCTCCATGGTATGGCTACTTGGCTTCTACTTCCCTGTTCATATTCCACATACTTCTAACGTAAAGTAATCGCTATTTCCCACTGATTCCACTGACCGGGGCCTGACGAGTTTGCCCATTTTACAGGCTATGGCACAACTGGCCGATCCAGCAAGGGATTGACAGAATCAGCAGTATCGCTTCCACCCTGACAGACCCTGAAGACCAGAGGAGATAGCTGTCCTTTGCCACTTCCACCAAACATGTCAATTTATCATCAAGTGCCCTGCAAGTAGTATTTATCCCTCTCTGAAAGAGGGGCTATAATTTAGGTTTTGTCAGTAAGGGCCAAGAGAAGAGAGAGGGGTTATCAGTGGTAAAGGTTCATATTTAACCATGTATTAAAGAATCCACCATGGCAGAAAGTAGAAGTATAAAGTGGAGGTGTATTAACTGCATGGTAGAAGCAAGAGGAACTCCAACCCCTGCTATAATGTGGCTTTTCTTTTAACGTTTTCCTTCTCTAAGGAAACTGAAGAGTACATTGGAATGTGGTATGGCAATAAAGACAATAATGGGGTATTTTTTTTTTTTTAATGAGGTGATCTTGGGCCTGCTCTATTGCACAGTGGTTAAGGGATCTAGATCACATATGGGCAACCACAGTTTAAATCCTGGCCCTGGCAGTTTGAAAAACACAGGATGCATGTGCATGCATGCCCAAGATCCTGATGGGATGGAGAAAAGAATGAAGGTGAATTGCAGTGTGACCGTATCTCAAGGGAGAGTGTTTTCTTTCTCCCTCTCTTTCTCCTGCAAGTGTGTGTATCCTTTGCAATTAAAACAAAAAAGATTTTTAAAAGGTGAGTTATTTTTAAAATCAATATTGATGAATTTTGTTCCTAACCTCATGGGTATAGAAGTGGCACATGAAGACTATCTTTTCAGGTGGCTCATTGTACCCTATATTTAAAACAAGGAAGGCTTGCTTAGGTTGTTTAACCCTGGAGTTGGGCGATTGGGTAAACTTAGTGAAGGAGGAGTTTCTGAAGGGACTAATGTCATAAATTAGGTGCTCTTAGTCTATCTGCTCTTCTAGATCTTTCCGCAAGACCGTTTAGAAGTGTGTTTGTGGAAAAGAATGAAGACTTAATCTCTCTTGCCTCTGTATTTCCTCCTGTCCTGCCCCAGGGGGGATTCAGGGTACCAAAACTCTCCATCGAGATGCTCAAATAGATTCCAACCATCTGCCTCTCCTTCTCTCCTTCAACCTCTGGACATGTCTCAGGAGCATGCAAAGAGAAGTAGGAAGATGGGAGTTCTCTTTCACATGTGGGAAGTATTTGACAGATTTAGAAATCAAAACAACTTGGCATTCAGATTCAAACTTCCATTTAATTATCCTTTATCCTCACAATCCCCAAGGAACCCAACAGGAGGGTGGCTTAAGCCCAGTTACAGCAAGAGCAGCTGGTGTCAAAGACCAGACCTGCCTGGCAAGCTTCTTCATAGGTGTGCCCATCCACACAATTATAGAAGGCGCGCTTGCTCGTGGGACTAGGATAGAGACCATTGGACTTCCCAGCACAGAATCCACCAGTGATACCACCTCCAGGTGCCACAGTGACAATGGGGGCCGAGCTTGTGCCCAGGGTAGAGGTGGGCACTCTGCAACCTAGAGAGAGTAAGAAAAAGATTTCTGTAAATTCAGGAGTGGAATCATTTGCCAGATGAGCATCTTGTCTGCCAGTTCCACTGTGGGTTCCTTAAGTACTAACTAACTCAATGAATACTTTGAGCCTGCATAATGGGTACACAAGTTCACATCCCAGCTCTGCCATAAGCTATTTGACCATGGGCAAGCCATTAACTTCACTGAGTCACCATTTCTTCTCTGTAATGAGGGGTCAATAGTATTATCTTTCAGAATTATTAGGCAAAGCATTTTCTAATGTGCATGGTATATAACACAGAAAGTGCTACATGACCACTAGGTTTATTTTTAAATGGCTGAATAACACCTGTCACCAAGGGAGCCTATGAGGATTATGTGAAATTTAAAAAAACTAGCAGGCCAATGATCGGCATTAGCCTTCTCAGCCCCTCTTGCTTTTCCAGAACCTCTTGGTTCCTGGATTTTCTATGGTTCTTACGACTGGGACAAAAGTGTACTTTGAGACCAAATGTAACCCCACTTCTCACTCCAGGGTAAGTGCAGTATGGACTTCTTCAAAGTTCTCTTTCTTCCATTCTTTTTCTCATCTCCGAACTTTTCAATGCCTCCCTTGCATTGTCTTCTCTGCTCTAAAAGCTCATAAAGCTAGAACACAAGGTGTTCCTGTCCCTTTTCCTATCCAGGCTCCAGTATTGTTTAGTTTACTTTATTGAAGCTTCCCTGAGTAGCTCTACAGAGGAGAATCCTCAGAAAATGTTGCTAAGTTCTTTCTAGTTGCCCCCTAGAAGGTCACTGGGTCTTTCTTCCTGGGTCCTAAATACCAGTTGCACAAGGACATTCTAGGACAACTAGAGGAAGTCTTCATTGGAGCTAGGCTGGGAGGAGCTCTGGACAGTCTTTCCTTCTTCCTTAATCAAGTCGAGTTTGTTATTTCATGGCTAGTAGGTGGCACATGGCTACTTACTGGGGGTGGATACACCAAGTGCAGATTTGAGGGCATTCATGAGAGGATATTTTCCTTGTCCACAGAAAGTGCCTGTGAAGTCATCCAAGTCAATGGCCCAGACCATGGCCCCTCCAAAATTGTTTTTCAGCAGCCACTCAGCCTATGGGAGAGAACAGGAGGCACTCAGAAAGTCCTTGCACAAATGAAGGGAGCAACTTTAGCAGGAAGATGAGGAGAAAGATGATTCCATCTTGAAGAAGAGGGAATAAATGGGAGGGGCTTTCTTGTGGCGGTTTTGAGGGATTCAAGGACATGTTTGTATGCAAGGAAAGATTTAGGACTATCAAAACAGAATGAATCTCCCTTGCCTTCTTTTATCACCAATCACCTTTTGAGAAGGTTCTTCTGCACTGAGACTAAATGTAAATGTTACAGAGATACAGGACCCTTCACAGAGCAAAGTGGGCAAAGAGAGAAGGCTCCAGACAAGGAGGTATAGGGGCTGGGGCCTCCAGATAAACAGAAGAGAAATCCTCCCAAGGCCTAAGCATGTAAAGAGTGGTGGACAGAAGCCTCATGGCCCACCTCCTGAGTTTGATTCAGCCTGTATGGATTTGCTATAGGCAGCAAAGGAGAGAAAGAAACTTGGGTCTACATGGAAGTCTTTAGAGTCAGGAAGAAAGCCTGCTTCAGGAAGCTCAAATTGAGGGTTGCCTCAGGGCAGGGGGTGGGGGCCAAAAGAGAGTGACAGGTGAGAGAGGGATGAAAAGGCACAGGAACAAAGTGCAGAATGAAGTCGTTTGCCATAAAACGGTAGCTGAAGGGGCTGCTTTGACTGTCAGTCTCTGCAGCTGGGTCATTAGCTCACCTTGACAGTCAGGACCTCCCTGGATCTCTGGATCACCTTACCTTGCTTTTCCTCCTGGTGTCTCGTGGGGTTGTAACTCAAGGGCACCTGGAGAACAGCTCCCCTATCTCTCCCTGATTACATAGAAAGGGTGCAGAGGGCTTTACCTTGAGGGTGAAGCTTTTGGGGTTGTCATAACCGATCCACTGGTTCCCCTTGTAGGCATATGGTACCTCTTGGGGGGCGTTCCACACCTCAGTGGCTCCTTTCAGGAAGGAGCAGACCTGGGACAGGTGCAGAAAAAGCAGTCATGACTCAGAAGGGTCCTACTCTGCTCAGGCCACTGCTCCATCCTCCCTCCCATGCTTTTCCAGGGCACAGTCCTCACCCCACCCTCCTTTGCTGGAAACAAGAGCACATAGTTCCAGTTTTACCAGCTGCCTGCCCTGCTTTCCAGTATAGTGGGCCCTGGATGGAGAGATGAGACATGAATGACAGTCCTGTGTCTGCCAATAGCCAGCTGCAACCATGGACAAAGCAGCCTCTTATGTTTCCTGTCCCAGTTTTCCCTTGAATCATATTTGTCTGTTGCTCTTATTTGAAACACTTTAACCTCAAAGGAACAAACAGGGCCTCAGCAGACATAAAGGTTAAGGGCTGTGAGTCAGAAGCTGGACCATTTAAGATTGAATCCTAGCTCTGCTACTTACTAGATCTGGGTCCTTGAGCAAATTAGTTAACCCCTTTGTGCCTCAATGCCCTCTCGTATAAAATAGGACGACTACTGGTGCCATATTGTTTGTTGTCATGTTAAATGAGATGATATGTGAAAATCACTCAGAACAGAGCTGGACTAGTATTTTCCTTTCTGACTCCATATGCAGTCGGAAAGTATCAGTTACTACTATATTAAAGATGCCCATTTACTTTAAGAAGTTAAAAGTTAAGATGTTATTAACCATTCACTCTATATTTCTCTCCCTACCACATATACTCAAAACAGTTGGCAAATGAAATCAGAGTGTAGATTCTTTATCTGTAGGTATATCTTCAATATTTGGAACAGATAGACTAGGTCTCCTAGTCCCCTGGGCCCTCTGAAGACATTACCTCAAAGTAGGCAAGAGTCCCAGCCTCTTGAGTATAGGGCCCAGCAGTCCCAGGGCCAGAGGTGGGAGCATCCAGACCATGGTTGGCAGGGTTAGTGAGGGTGAAGGTACGGGCATAAGCCCCAAAGCCCACCATCAGTTTCTCAGCAGGGGCACCTTGGCTCTTCCAGTAGTTCATTGCATAATCCTGGAGGCAAGGTGAAGATTCCATTAGGAAGCAGTTCAGAACATGTACACAGAGGCCTTGGAATAGCCTGGGTTTTCTTCTCAATTTCCTGGTGTTTCAGTATCCAGCACCTAGTAAAGACCTTTCCACAATCCTACCATGTACAAAGGAAAGGAATGCCGTGCCTTCTAGAACCAAGTGTTATAATTATCCTTAAGCAAGAGCTTCTTTGCTTAGATAACTGGGTCCATTGTTGACAAGGTATGGAATGTGCTCCACCCTCCTTCCCCTCATACTGAATTTGGCATTTGGGGCATGACTGGAGTTCAGCCATGCATCTACTTATCTTCCCAGCTGGCTCAATACAGTGCTCAGAATTATTTGAACATGAAGCATCCACCGGGAGATTTTCCCATGTTAATTTTTAAATACCTGGTTGAAATTTCCACTGAAATCACATCTAGCCCATTTTCCCACTGTCATTAAGTATTCTCATTACTGTAGCTGCCTAAGCGATACAAGTAAGGAAGATAAACCCATGACAAAATAAGAGGGTAGAAGGGAGGTAAGGAAGAATGAAAGTGAGATGGATCATAAAATGTGCTCCTAGCATAAATGGAAAAGACAAGTTTAAAAATTCTCCAATGTTTGAGATAATTCCATTATTCTGCTTCCTTTTGTTTGTTTGTTTGTGAAAAATAAATGCAGTTATCTTTCAGTTAGTTACAGAGACCCAGCAGTATAGAACTGTCCATCAAGCTTCCTTGACCTGGCCTTCAGTCCAGGAATCCCACAAAAGGCTTTGAAGAGATCCGTTAGGACTGACTTCCT